AAATGTCCTTCCTCAGACTCTACTCTTTTACCCATACTATATCTGATATTCGCAACCATTTACTGTGTTTCTATATCCTTTATTCAATCAGTTTCTGTCATAGAGTGCGAACACTCAGTATATATTAAGTGGGGACATACAATGTCTCTCCTTCATAGCCTAGCTTTGATCAACTTTGAGTTGATTTTTGTCAATGGTGAGAGGTAGGGGTTCAGATTAATCTTTCTGCAGGTGGAAATCCAGTTTTTCTAGCACCATTTGTAGAAGAGGTTTTCCTTTTCCCACTGGATTGACTGGTACCCTTTGTCAAAAATCAGTTGACTGTATGCTTGTGAGTTTATTTCTGGGGACTCTATTCTGTTCCATTGGTCCACCTGTCTGTTTCTGTGCCGGTACTATGCTGTTTTGATTACCACAGATTTGTAGTATATTTTTGGGTCTGGGAGTGAGATGCCACCCATTCCACTCTTCTTGTGCAGGATTGTTTTGGCAATACGGGGTCTTTTATGATTCCAGACAAATTTTATGATTGTCTTTTCTAGATCTGTGAAGAATGTGTCTGGTACTTTGATTGGGATTGCATTAAATATGTAGATTAATTTGGGTAGAGTTGAAAAATACTCAAATACCTTCCACTGCCCTTCTTATAATAATAACTACCTAACACAGTTTCTGGGAAGACAAAGCATAACATAGTATGTGTAACTTTGCTCATGACACATAGGCTGTTTTGCATGTGTGAATTTACTATTATTACTGCTATTTAGCTTTGTGTGAGTTAATCTTCCCTGTTCAAGCTGTGAGTAGATATTGTGCCTCCTGTTGCTCTCTTGCAAGTATTGCCCATTTGCTGACCAAAAAGTACATATTCTAGCTTTCAATAAAATCCTCTTAATTCACTGACTTATCAGTAAGAGAATCATTTCTGTAGTGTAGAATAGTATCTCTGAAGAAAGACCACCTGGGTTTAGTCAACTTTCTAACTATAGGACTTTATGTAAATAAATGCATCTGCATGTGCTTCCATTTCTTCTTTTTGTCAAATGAAGAGACTAATATTCCTACTCCATAAGGTCATAGTGATAAATATTTGTAAAGTACTTTGAATGGTGCCTAAAACACAGCACTATATTCTAGAAATAGAAGTTTCTTCATAGCAAAAGACACAGTAATTAGTGTGAATCAACAACCCTCAGAATAGGAGAACATTTTTGTAAACTATGCCTTAGATAAGGGACTGATAACCAGAATACACAGGGAACTCAAGCGGCTTACCCAGAAAGGAAAAAAAAAATGATGAACCCAATTAAAAGATGGGAAAATGAGCTGAAAAAACAACTCTCTAAGGAAGACATACGAGCAGCCCAAAAGCATATGAAAAAATGCCCAACATCCCTCATCATAAGAGAAATGCAGGTCAAAACCACAATGAACTATCACCTAACCCCAGTCAGAATGACTAAGATTAAACAAACAAAAAATGATAAGTGCTGGTGGGGCTGTTGTGAAAGGGGAACTCTCCTACACTGTTGGTGGGGATGTAAATTGGTACAGCCACTGTGGAGAACAATATGGAGATTCCTCAAAGATCTACAAATAGAATTGCCATATGATCCAGAAATTGCACTCCTGGGTATCTACACAAAAGACAAGAGAACACTTACTTGGAAAAGTCCTTGTATATCTATGTTTATTGCAGCATTATTCACAATTACTAAGACATGGAACCAACCCAAATGTCCATGAACAGAAGAATGGATTGTTAAAGTGTGGCACATGTGCTCTGTGGAATACTAGTCAGTCACAAAAAACAATTTGGCTTTTGATAGAAAGTGAACAAATATGGAAGATTTACTGCCGAGTAAAGCAAGCCAGGGTATGAAGGAGAGAAACTGTATATATCCACTTAATATATACTGACTGTCCACAATCTATGGCTTAAATACAAAGATTAGAGGATATAGAAACATGCAAAATGGTTATGGATACTGGATACACTGTGGGGAGATGGTGGAAGAAGGAGGAGAGTCTGAGGAAAGACATTAAGGAGAAAAGTAGAGAGGCTAGACATTTATAGGACACAGAAATAGATTATTATCTGTTAATTATAATGTGCATATTATCCTCAACTGGACTGGTGTGAAGTGTATTCATGTTGGAAAATTCACTTTACAAGCTAAGTGACGTATAGTGATTGGATGTATAAAATAAATTAAAATAAAATAAAATATATTTTAAAAAGAAATATTAGGATTATTATTTTTATGTCATTTTACTCATTCAATGGTGGAAGAGGTTGCATTTCTTCATTTAGCAAGCAAATGACAAATACGTCTTGACCAACTTCCCTGTGTCAGGCACTATGCCAGGCACAGAGGATAAGGCTATGACCACAGCATGTTTTCCCCTCTCAGTCTAATACAGGAATCTTGGTAAACCTTCTAGATGAAAATGACTTCCCCCAGGACATAGTACAAGTCAGTGCAGAGCTAAGGGATCAAGATCAATTATGGAATCCCATAGAATGTCTACCCAAGAATTAGATCTCTGAGACATGACGCTCCAGGATCTGTTTGTAGGGTTTCATTAGGGATCCAATTGAAGCAGGTATAATGGGAAAAGAACTTTTGGGTCAGACAAACCTGGATCTGAATCCTGGCTCCATCACTAACTAGCTTGTGACCTCGGCTAAGCTGTATAACTGCTCTGGACCTCATCTATAAAATTGGTAGCTGTTGTGGAGAATAAATAAGATTCAGGTGTTAAGAGATCCAGTTTAGTGACTGACCCTTAGTAAATGATAAAACAACATATTGAGGGACCAGCAGTTAGCGTAATGGCTATGTCGCTGGACTCCCACGTAGTCGACTGCGGTTCGAGTCCTGGACCCGATGGCTTAAACTCACACCAGGTACGTGTGCGTGCGTGCCCAAGATCCCAAGAGGAGAATGGAGGAGAAGGGATTGCGCCATCCCTCCTGGGAGGTGATTTCCTGCTTTCTGTCTCTCTGTCTCTCTCTGTCTGGCGAGCACACGCGCCCTATAGCAAAAAACACATTGAGATCTGCTCCTTTACTATTGCCAGCTAGAAAAATGATAGGTTTCCCAGGCTTTGCAGTGAAAGGAAAGCCAAAATTATTCCTCAATATACTACCAAACCACAGGGGTTAACGTAGACCTCCAGAAAGAACCCTACATCTTTCAGAGGTCAGAAGACCCAGATTCCAGTCCTTTCCCTTGGCGTCTCCATGTTGGAGAAAAAAGGTGCAGCTTGGAGACTTCTTCCCTATTCTCTTCTTTATTTCTGGAGTTTAAGAATCAACATAATTTAGGGCCTCTTTTACAGTGTGGGCTGAGAGGAATTGGTTGAATGAGTATATCAAGGAGTTTCACAAAAGGGAAGATCTAGCCAGGCTGATAGCAACCCATGAGAGGGTAACTAACTGTCTGCTCCTTATAATCACCTAGGGCAGGTGGGCTTACCTTGGGGAGGTGGACTTACCTCTGAGGACTGAGTGCCATGGTTTTCACATTACAAAAATACTCTCTATTCAGCATTTTTTCCTTAAAGGCTATGCCTAAGCAGCACTTTTCCATTCAGTCCATGCCACAGGGGTCATTTATAAAAGCCTAACTGCCTTTCTCCAGAATTTTAACCTATAGTCAGCATGATCTGCCTTCAGATTTTTAATAAGCAGGCTTCAAGTTCTCAACAAATCCTATTAAGAGAAAAGTTGCAGGGGTCAACTCCATGGTGCAGTGGTAATGTGCTGCTCAAGAGAAGCTGAATCCTACATGATGGTCACTGTTCAGATTCCCTATCAAGTAAGCCTGAAATATTATGGGTTCACATATGAGTGCTCAAGCTCTAGTGGGCTGAAGGACTGAAGGAGTGAAGGAAGGCAATCACGTGTGACCAGACCCCGTGGAGGGTACTCTTCTCTATCTCTTGCTCTCTCTCTCTCTCACTCTCACTCTTTCTCATTCTCATGTGCACAAGCTCTGTAACGAATAAAGGAAAATAAATTAAAAGTCTCAGAATCCAAGAAGTAAGTACCTCCAACAATTTTGGGGCAAAGGCACAGCAGTAGCCAACAGCCCTACCTCCTTTCTGCTTGCTCCAGTTCTCCCATGGTCACTAAGAATGCACGCAAAGTTTATGACTTCTCATTTCTGTTCTAGCACAGTGTGATCCCACATGCTCTTATGCCTGAGAAGGGATGCCTTAAGGTTGTGAACTGATGGGTACCATGTCCCACAATACTGCCTCACTTCATATTTAAAAATGTCTTAGCAATCAGTCTGATCAATATCCAGTTGTCTTGGGTCAGGTAAGATTACACATATGACATCAAGCTCTTGCTATGGGTACAAGACCAGTTTCCTCAACAGAAACTAAGCAAACCAATTTTTCTTTTTTCAGGGACGAGGAGTATTAAGTCTTTAGTACTCTTTTCTTTTTTTTTTTTTTTTTTGTTTTGTTTTTTTGAATCTTTTTGCTATAGGGAGCGTGCACTCATCAGACAGAGAGACAGAGATAGAAGGTGAGAAATCACCCCCCCCCCCAGGGGGGATGGCCAGGCTGCAATTCCTTCTCCTCCATTCTTTTCTTGGGATCTTGGGCATGCATGCACATGCACCCAGCATGAGTTTAAGCTGTCCAGTCCCGGATTGAAACACAGTCAACTCTGTGGGAGTCCAGTTACGTAACTATTGCGCAATCTGCTGGTCCCTTTTAGTTTTTTACATGCTCTCTTTAGTTCCATTTAATCACAGTATATAGTTAGTAACAACTTACTGCATATAATGTTATAATGGTTTTGACAATGAGTGTCTACTAAAATTACCCTGATTCAATCATTACACATTGTATTCATGTACTGAAAAATTACATTATAACAATTGTTACGTTAATAAAAAGTACTGATTAAAAAGAAATGAAAGATCGCAACAATTTTTATAGAAGCCTCAGAGGCACCAATTCCCTTAGTGGTCACTTACCTCCCTGACTGACTGGTCTTCCTGTTTCCTGTTACTGGTTTCCATTTGTCCCCAGGAAACTCCTGTAAAGTAAATTGACATACATTAGGGAGCTCTAAGCAGCCACGTATCTACATGAATCAAAAATGTGAAGAGGTCAGGAGGCTGTCCCCAGCCAGGTCCCTTAGTTCCTTCTACTGTCCTATGCAGGCTCAAGAAATGTGTACCTGGA